AAGGAATTACTTCAGGGATAAAAACCTGACTCTATCGAGTCAGCTGAAATCTTACTATTCACTTTAATGAGGATAGAATTTTTGCCTTTATGTATAAAATGGCCTACAAACATAACACAACATGCTAGGTTTACTGCTATTACTATTTTTCTATGGATATAAAAGTTTACCTCCTTCCAATGAATCAGCTAACAAGAATTGGCATGGAAACTGAAGCTCAGCTACACTTAGGTTCACAGCAGAGGAGCAATGAAGACAATACATTCTAATTCAGTCTTAAAGGCAGTCAAAAATGGTATATTAGAAAAAACACTCTTTAGCTTTGGTGAGTTTTGCTTAACTCAAGTTACTATCCTTATAAAGCTAATCTTTAGAATATTTTAATGTTTTCGTGTTCATTTTAATACCATCAATTACTCAGGAGCAAAGCTCTTCCTGCATGCACAGAAAGATGAGATTATTGGGTTACTTTCCAGTACACCAAATGTTGTTTCTGGCTAGTCTTATTAAAGATATTGCAATGATTCAGAATTTCAAAACAAAAGAGCAGAGAAAAAAGAAGAGGTTTGGTTTTGTTCACATTCAGAGACTTGGCTGAATGTAACAGTCACAACCGTATAACAAACCATATACACTAAAAGTATAAGGATAACCATATCAGCTCAGATCCAAATTTAATTTAGCCCAACATCCTGTTGGCAAGAATTGCCAGTAGCAGATGATTACAGAAAGCATAGAAGAAACAGGAAATATCAGCAGTTGGCCAAAATTCTGGTTGAACAGTCTTATTACCTCTTGACACCTACTAACGGATTAGGTTCCTATCTGCAACAACACATCCTAGTGTCTATTTACAATGAGGTAATTTCTCTTACACTGATTTAGTACCAGGGACACATACAAAATAAAGACAGACCAATATGACCATAACATCATATAAAGTAATATAATGTGATAGCTTTATAGAGATACTGAAAGGAAATGAAACAAAGAGGGAAAAATACAACTTTTTCTATTTTATAGATTTACTATTTTGTTCTTTGGTATATCCTTTAGGAATTTCCTGCTTTGCTGCTATAATCATAATATAATATAAAAGCTCATATTTATATTTAAATATAAGTTATAAAATTATAATTGGAAGAGACAGTGATTTCTATTATTCACATGTCTCTTTAACCTCAAAGTTTGTGTTGAATGTTTATATATCCAGCTGAGTATTAAAAAAATAGAAAAGTAGTTTAGATGCTTTCACAGTGAGATTATGTTGTTTAAAAGTGTTAAAGATTCCATTAACTAGTTCTTCAAAGAACTTGTGCTTTGAGAATTATGCAGCACATAAGAGGTGTGCAGGAAAAAGCTGGTCACCTTGTAAATCTTGTACGTTCAGAAGCACTTTGTAAAACAGTACAGAAATTTCTGTCTGTATTAAATTTAATATTACTCAAAAATCATTCTTCCAGGTCTAAGAGAGACCTCTGACATGGGATACTAAATTTAAGCATGTGATACAACTGCAATGCTGACACCTATAAACTAATAAAGTTTCCCTTTACAATTTCTCAACCTTAATAGTCTCTTTCCATAGTTTCTGTTCATAAAGGAAGACATTTTAAATTGATGCATGTACATGACATTTTGTAATTAACATAACAAGTGTGTTCCATACAAAAGACTATATACTGAAAGATCATAAATCAAATTCTCAGCTAAATCAGCTACCACAGTTCTAACCACACAGTAAAGTCTTACTTTTCCAAGTTTACTAAAAATTTCCATTTCCTATATAATTTATTTAATTTAAAGAAAAAATATGCAATGAATTGCAGCAATATAACATTTCTGAAATGAACAGAAGGATTACTGAGGCATAGCCTCCAGAAGAAGAAAAGAGAGCTTAGAGTATGCTGCCTTATTGCTTAAGGAATTTCTGTCATATGCCTTAAAATAGAGAGAGGAACTCAGTGATGATTCATTTGCACATTAAATACAAAAGTGCATGTGAGATGCTGCCTCAGAGACCTAAATCACAGAAACACTTTGTGGAAAAGGGAAAAACTCATGCTTTGTTTTATCGAGACTACGTTAAGACATATCAGAACAGACGAGACACGATTGAGAACTGAAAACAGAAAAATGAGCACATGCAGTTTATGATAGGCCACTTAATTCCGAGATAGACATGTTCTGAGCGAAGAATCACGAATACGCAAGCTCTATGTCCACTGAACTGTCTGTGGTCTTTTTTCTTTCTCTTTGACATTGCTAATAGTACATTTTTAATGGGACATAGTCATTGGAGAGTTCATCTGGTGTTCCCACGCTGAATTTATGGAGAGATGCACAGACAAAGTATCTTTAGAAAAGTGTCATTCAAAGACCTAAAACATTATTTGGATTTCATACCACCTCTGGGTCAGGGTGTCATATGTTATTTATGTGAGAGCTAGCTCTAATTCTGGGGGTACGTAATTGCTCAAAATTGTGAAAAGCACATAATAATATAGCAAATAGTACTGAACATGTATAACAATTTATGAATCTCAAATTATTTGTCCTTAATTAAAATGCATTGCTTTTTATGCACAATGGAATTCTAACAAACAAGATGAAAATCATGTAAAGATCTGAATACAATAAATCTATCACATGTATTGCCCTTGTAAATTATAAGTAGAATATATCTTTGACGGATACATTTTATTTGTCCATTCAGATTTGCTATACAGGAGGCTTATAAAACATCTTTACATCCTCAATTTCTATCCTATGTCAAATTCTATATGGATAGTGTAGTTTCCACATGAAAGAGATTTATATCTCAACTGAGAATAAAGTAGAAAAACAAGTACTCAAAACCAAAATAAAATAATTCCTACAAGTTATTATGAATGTCACCATCTACTTCAGAAAAAAAAAAAGAGCTAAAAAATAAAGTAAAAATTCTAGTAATAATATTGTCTTGGACAAAAGCTTTTGGCATTTCCTTTTTAAAAGTAGTAGTATTTCTTACTACAGTAACTTCAGCCAACATCAGCTTACTCAAGGAAATCTCAATTCCTATTAGCATGACTTGTTTTAAAAAGTAATTTTGAACCTCTCAATTTTTTAATTTTATAAAAACAGAAAACTCAAACATAGATTTTTAAAAAAACTCTCCTTAAGTTAATGGCCAGCACAGGCAAAAGAACAAATGGATATAAGCTGTTGCTGAAAAAACGCAGATTGCAAACTACTACAGAGTCTGTAGCCATTAAAATAAATCAAACTCTGGAACAGCCTTTGGCGGAAACACTGGGGGCAAAGAAATAACAACTCCAATTTAGTATTGGCAAAGTTTATGAAAAGAGAATTATCTGATGTAATTCCCAGGCTAGCAGAGCACTGGACTTGATGACCCAGAGATCCCTTCCACTGTTATTCTCTTTGTTTGGCTAGATACTGATGTTCATCTGTTTTTCAGCCTCACTGTAGTTTTTCTAAAGTGAAATTTAAATGAAAGTTAATACAATTTTTGTAAGTTTCAGTTAGAAATTACGCTTTGTAAGAATTGTTGCTAGGTCTGCAGCAGAGTAGAAGTTGCCAAAGAATTCTAAAAGCTTTACTTAAAGTTGGCTTAGCATTATAGAGAAGTACAGAATTGTTAGCGTGCAGAGATGAAGGTCCAGCAGGGCACATACCATGAGAAGAGGTAACTGATGTACTGGTAGGGAAAATAGGAAGAAAAAAGTAAGCAATACAGGCTAGGACTGATACATCAGTAATATCGAGGAAGAAAGCAAAACAGAACAGTAAAGAAAGCAAAAGGCATTAGGATATAAAAAGTAGTATAGGGAAGGAGAAATAACACAGATTTCACGCCTTTCTATAAAAAAACTGATTAACGAAAAATTATTATCATGTGGTGGCTGTGAAGAGTCAACACAAACTTGAAAGAGAAAAAAAGGAAATGTTTTGTTGAAGAGGAAAGTCATCTTTCAGGTGACAATCTAAAACAAGCCTCTCTCTCCCCCTCCCTCACTTCTCTCCCCCATGCTCCGCTGTTGGAATTTGCAGAGTAGGCTGGCTCTGAAAGATCCCATCTTGGAGAACAAATCACTGCACAGATGCCACTGCACACAGTTCTGTAGGTGACTCAATATGGAAGAAAATGGCTCCAACTCAGCAGCAGTATAGCTCTAAGCTATTGCTTAAAACAACAATAATAATATTCAAGCTTGAAAACAATATGTAGCTCCTTACTAACTTGTACCATCCTCCGCAGTTGTTTGTTTTTTTTAATTAACATAAGACTATTTTTTATGTTGCAGGTAACTTAAATGTATCATAGTGACTACAGAAAGCTATTGCAGATATACAGCAGTGAGATGAAAATAAAGTAACTTATAGAAAACAACTCTAAATATTCTCTGATTTTGAACAAATAAGTTCTCAGAGCAGCTTTTAATGATTTGCAAATACACATATCTTTACAGCTCTGATCAGTCATAAAAGCATACAAAGGTCAAGCAAATACTTTATCTTATTTAAGATGCTGTGGTCTGTTTTC